AATGTCCTTTATAACGCAGAGTTTCCCTGATCTTCAGAGGAAGTTACAAAAGCAAGAAGGTTTTTACAAGTGAAAATTTGATGGAGTTGCTGGAAGTTGCACAGAAGGTGTATGTGAATAGGGATTAAAAAGTTAAGAAGGAAAAAGATAGAAAGATGGCTAAAATAAGATAGAAGACTGCTCTCAGCCACATTAGTGGAACAGTGCAGCGGAGGAGCCAGAAGATGAAACATGGAATGTGGAAGAGGACAAGGACGTGGACGTGGACGTGATGAAGGAAGTCGGCCTGGAAGAGGCAGAAGAGCTTTGGGACGGAACCAGTGTGCCCAGTGTGGCCAAGAAGGACCCTGGTGGTGAGAGTGTGCGAATAGATCAAGGGAGACGACTGGCAGAAAAGACATCAAGAGAGCCCTACTCCAGGCCTCAGGACAGCGTTATGGTCAAACGAGCCAACCAGACTCCTAAGTTGCACCTGAGAAAGGTGTGTGCCGAAACTAAGACTAAATGGACTCAGATGTTACCTGTGGCCCTTTTGCATATGAGATGCACTCCTGGAGCCAATGGTTTGACTCCCTATGAGATGATCTTTGCCAGACCACTGCCGTTGCCAGCAACGGTGGAGACCTTGGATCTAAGGGGGGAGATAGGTCTTAAGAAGGTACTTCAGGAGTTGTGTTAAGACAGTTAAAATAGAAGACAAGATTCAGAAAACTCTGGTGTACTTGACTAGATATGCTTGTGAAGATAACAAAAAGAGCTGTGTTCTTAAGAACACCACTTACACAGCATGCATATGATCCTCAAGAAAGTCCTTCACAGTGGTGGTTTGAAGTCCATTCAAGTAACCTAAAATTGGAACAGGGTCCCATTCTTGTCAAAACAAGGATGCCTAGTCCTGATACCAGAGTTAACTTTACAGTGGAGTTTTGCAAATCAGTGGCATCATGGCCATATTGTGGAAGTTTGTCATGGCAAAGGTATTACGCAGATCAGGGTAAATACATTTGCCCAGGCAAGGTCCCTGACACCCCCAGATGGAAAGGTCGTGGTTGTCAGTTTGCTAAGAAAGGGGGGTGGCCATGCCATTCTTGGAAATGTATACTTGGAACCACTTGGTTTACTGATCAGAGGGCAGAGATTGTTATAACCAAAATACCGGTCTCTAGCTCATGTTCAGCCGCCCAGTGCAACTATGTCAATGTTACTATAAAAGATCCCCAATCTTATATTTCCAAGTATGGTCAATATATTGGAATGGGTGTGGATGGACAGGGAAAGGATCCCTAGGGAGTGTTTTACATTCACATAGTCCAGATGGGAGAAGTGGAGACAGCACATGTAAAGGAAGCTGTCTTCTACTCTGACTTTTGGGAAGAAACAAAAACCCCATTCCAAGTTCCTGAGGCAGCCCGTAATCTGTTTACTACCTTTGCTGAAACTGTTGCTATAGCACTGAATGTGTCTAATTGTTATGTGTGTGTGGGAACTCAAGTAGGTGATCAGTGGCCTTGAAAAGCTGCAGAAATGAATGTGAGTGAACCTTACAATGAGATTAACAGAACAAATCCTCATAGTCAGTGGATACTTAAGAGTGTTATAGTTAATAAATGGTGTGTTCAGAGGTTTGCAAAGAGAGCTCCTAAGATGGGATATGTCCCTTGTGAAACGGCCACAATAATAAATGGAACAAATAATATAACTTATTGGCCAAATAGTTCAGTGATTCCGGTTAACAATTTATGGCCCACTGAACTGAAAAATAAATTGAGACCAAGAGTGCAGGGACCCAGATCATCCAATGGAACTAAGTCTCCTTGGAGGGCCCCGAGAGGACTCTATTGGATATGTGGAAAATATGCTTATTCACAGTTGCCTGACCCTTGGGAAAGAGCTTGTACCGTAAGAGAAATCAGACCTTCATTTTTCCTAATTCCCCTCTCTGAAGGTACTCAGTTGGGACATCCTGTGTATGCTAGAAAAAAGAGATCTGCTATTGCTATAGGAGAATGGAAAGATAATGAATGGCCCCGCTACCTGGGCCCAAGATGGAACTTATGGATATAGAACTCCTATATATATGTTAAATAGGATAATTTGCTTGCAAGCTGTGTTAGAAATTATCACTAATAAAACCGCAAGAGCTTTGACTACATTGTCTAAAACCCAGACTCAGCTCCGCAATGCTGTCTATCAAAACCGCTTGGCATTAGATTATTTGCTTGCTGCTGAAGGAGGTGTTTGTGGCAAATTTAACTTAACCAATTGTTGTTTACAAATTGATGATAATGGAAAAGTGATTAAAAAAATATCAGATAAAATAGTTAAGCTAGCACATGTTCCTGTTCAGAAGTGGGAAGGATTTCAGTGGGATGGATTGGATTCTTGGCTTGGGTGGCTCGGAGGTCTCAAGGGACTAATTGGGATTGTGGGAATAGGAGTTTTGTTGTGTATTTTCATGCCATGTATATTGCCCCTGATAGTAAATGGAATGAAAAGGATGATGAAAGAAATTGCTGACAGATGTACCGCTTTACATGTAATGGCTCTACAGGAATATAGATCCCTCCCCACTAATGAAACTGAATAAGATATCTATTATACCTCCCCCCAAGGCTTTGAGCTTTCTGATCATATATATGCAACAGTCTACCTGTCCAATCTTAAGAGGAAGACATCAAAAGCCCAG